TTTTTTTTTTTTCCATACTACGGAAGTCAATTGGAACCAGCAATGTTTGGTTTCAAAATAATTATCTTCTTTTGTGTTTAGACAAAGAAAGAAATTCATGCAGATTTGGAACAACTTGAGGGTGAGTAAACAATGACAGAATTAGCCATTTGGGGTAACCTATCCCTTTAAGGAGACCCATTACAAAGCATCACAACACAGTAGCCCACTTCCCCAGTTGCATGCAATAACAAATTCTATTCTATTCTATTCTATTCTGGGAAAACCTCACAGTCATCTGTACCAGCTAGCTTGCAGACCTGTCATTCACAGCTGCAGGAGTCCATAATATGCTTTCAGTGGAGTGTTATATTTCTCATCACTCTCCTGCTGTCACACATGCTGTAGGCTAGTCACTGATCGGAGAATCGTGGTTTACACCCTGAAATATAACTACTGTTTACCATTTCATTTTCTTTTTATATAAAATATAGGTTCTCGTTATGCTCTATTTACCTTCAAGTACTACGTCTAGATTTACATTAGACTGCTAGATTTGGGTTAGATGGAGGGTAATCAGATGCTCTAGAGGTGGTCCTGATGATGGAGATGTAATTTGTTCCTTCTATCGCCTCATAAACCATAAAAACTGCGCACGTAGCCTATATTTCCATGGAAACCCAATCAGGGAGGCGCATCTAGAGCACAGTGATAAATCACGGCAGAGGCGCGCGATCGTACGTGAGCTGAAACACAAGCGATCTGCTCACAGGAGAGATGAAGTAATGCTCGTGTGACGTCGTGTAAGTGGCTGCACGAGGATAGTTGTCACTGATCGTGTGTATCAACAGGTCAGACAGCATCTAACATTTAGCACCAGCTTTATTTTATAAACAGGTATTTATTTTATAATCATGTAAAAAAAAAATTATTCAAAGTGCTTTTTTAAACACTTTTTTTTTTTTACATTTCTGAATTTAAATTAATTTTGATATTTTTTTTTTAATATAATTTTTTAAACAACTGTACAGCGATGGAGAAAAAAGACAAAAACGTCTCCACTAAATGGTTTGGAATTTTTGGAAACGAGGAATTTTTGTATCTATATATAACGTAACAAACATGCAGGGAGCCATTTTGTTGTCATGTGACTTTCATATTATATTTTTTGACAAGAAATTTTTACAAATTTACATATTTAGACGTTTTTATAAAAAGTAAGAGAATAAGAACAAAGAGCAACCGTAGGAAAATCTTATTCATAATTTTAAAAATTACATTTATTATAACTTCACAAATACTTTTTAAAAATTTAAGTTAATTTGTATTATATATATAGGCTATATATATATGTGTGTGTGTGTGAAACCAACATGATTGCAAACATTTTTGATAGATTTCCCAATATTATCATTATATACATTTTATCTAGGTCCTGCGCCTTCCTTACCTCCAGTTTCTCAATGCGGTCTTTCATTTGAGTTATGGCATGCACCAGCTCCTCCATCGCATGAGTGCTCCGCATCGAGGACCCCGCATCGTCCCGCATCATGATTTGCTCCTTATTCTCTTTCCGCGCATCCCCAAGCCCCGCGCTCCGTTCCGGGACCCTGCGTCCCTTCAAGCCGCTCTCGCATTCCGAGAGCTTTCCCGTTAGCTCCCGTATGGTTCTCTGATCCGTGAGGATCTCATCCTTCTGCTGCAGGACGGTCTGCCGGAGCTCCTCGGCGGTGGTGCGCAGGTACCCCCAGTCCTCTCCCGCGTATAACGACGGGTCGTCCGCTTGTTGCTGAAAGTTTTTGGGGTTGCACTCACCGGCGGGGACAGGGGTGCAGATGAGTCTGCTGTAGGTGACCTGCTGCTCGCTGCCTCCGGTCCCTAGTCCAGTTAAACCGTAGAAGGTTGGCGCCTCCGGTCCTCCTCGTTCCCTGCTGGTCGCATCGGTACCGTGAAGAGCGTGCAGCGGTCCTGCTCGGGCCACGGACCCGGTGGAAAACGCCTTCCCGGTTGCGTCCGGTGAGAGTGAATGGTTGTCAGCCAGGGGCTGCGCTGCGACCGCGGATGCCGGTGGAGATCCGCTGTGAACCGCGGCGATGATGCATATAACCGCTCCGATAAACGCCACCATCCCGGCGGCCAGAATGACAACGATGAACTTCAGGGTGGCGGTTAAAAAAATCAGTGATGATAAGAAACAAAAGATAAAGGGGAGATATGGACCTTAAGAGTGAATTAAGCTCATCAGTAAATTTTCAGCGCTCGAAATCAACAGCTTTTCCTCTGTAACGTGCCTGTCCACCCGCAGGACGCGTCTCTCTATATCTCCATCTCGGTATTAACGTGGGGACAACTAGAGGTGGGGGTTTAGCTCACACATCAGTGGTGGGCTGCACTTGCGAGGGAGGTGGAGGCAGCACCCGCCTCATGTCAGACCAATGTGAGCAAGACTTCATTTAACTTATAGTCTGAAAAAAAAATACCTGGAGTGCTTAGGAAAGCAAGTATGCAGGATACAAGATAGGGGTCTGCGTCGGTCTAACCATCTCATCCATACTAACTCTTATCCATACTATAGGGAGACTGGGAAAATTTGATTACATGATCTAAAACAGTTTTTCTTTTTAGGTTTTAGACTAAAATTCTGTCATCATTTACTCAACCTTGTTCCAAATCAGTATGTTTCTTTCTTCTGTTCACCACAAAAGAAGATATTTTGAAGAATGTTGGTAATCAAACAGTTGATAGTCATTGACTTCCAGAGTATTTTTTTTTCAGTAGCCTATGGAAGTAAATGTCTACCTGCTGTTTGGTTACATTCTTCAGAATGTCTTCTTTTGTATATGAAATACCTCAACACAGCAAAAAAGAAAAAAAAAAGTAAAAGCCTCACAAAGTAAAAGCCTATTTATTAAATATTATCTATCCATGATCTATTACTTCTAAAATAAATTTTGTATGTATGTGTGTGTGTGTGTGTGTGTGTATACATCAATATCGGATTTTCAAACTTCATTGTAACATTTCTGAAAATATATAGTTTACAAAAGTTTATAAAAACCAAAAATAGATGACACTCTCGCATTTGTGAGAAAAAGTCATATTTGCAAGATACAAACTCAGAATTGCGAGATGTAAACATGAGTTTAAAAAAGTACGAAATATGAGATAAGTCACAATTACCTTTCATTTTTTATTCTGTGGTGGAAAGAAAAGATGCAAAATGTAAAAAAAATTCAGAACAGTGTGATATAAAATAGAAAAAAATCAGAATTGTGAGTTTATATCTTGCAATTGCAAGTTTAAATTGCAATTCCGAGAAAAAAGTCTGAATTCTGAGATAAAAGATGGTGTTTAATTGATTTGAAACTGACTTTCTAACAATAATAAGAAATAATAAAAACAAGTTGTGCCAACACATTTGTACACTTTCCTGTCCTCATTAATGAGCATCCCAGCCAGGTAAGTGCCGAAACCTTGGAATCCCTCTTGATCCCACACTGTCCCTGGTGAAGCGTGAAATCACCCGAGCACAGGGGGAGATTAGTGTCCCATAAACATGACCTCATCCTTTCACAGCAAGTCTACGGGGGTCACCCTTTTATGTGTAATCCACCTCCACACACACTCATACACCACGCGTGAGGAGGATGAGAAAAATCGTGCATAGAGACCCAGGCCAAAGACAGAAGATTAACACAGATTTATATCAAATAATCCCTAACGATCATGTTTTATGTGGGGATTTCTGTCTTTCTGGAGGCTTTACATCATTTCAAACTTTAAGTAAGAAACGGTGGATGGTGACTCCAATTTAGCTGTTTTTGCCTAGTTCCCAAACAGAGATAGCCTGATTTAAGGAAAAAGGCTCTTTTTTTATTTCAAAATCTCCTTGATTAAAATAGCATTGTGTTGGTGTTATTGCATAATGAAGCCACATCCAATGAGTTTGGAGATGTTTGATTGGATCAAAGTGAAGAGGAAATGTCTGAACGCGTATGAATTCATCCTATTATTGCAGTTACATAATCAGAAAAGATGATCTAGTCACCCTCTCTTCTCACTGCCACCATAACTCTCATCTAGAAAATGAACATTTCTAACACGTTCCCTGTTCGGTCACTTAAAACATCATCCATGAATGTCCATACATATTTGTGAATTCCTAGTAAGTCGAGTGATTAAACTTCTATTATTAAGATTTATTGGCCAGAAGCACAGCCTTATAGGCCTGAAATTGATTCATTGTGTTCAGTGGAGCTTGTGGTTGCCAGCTGCTGTTTTGGACAAAATGTGCAGCAGAGGTAAGAGAGGGAGAGGAGAGGGAATACTATTTCTGATTTCATTAAAGGCTAAAGTGGGACAGCAGTCTAAGAATGGAGTGTGTCACTCTAAAACAGAAAGACTGACTGTGCCGTGTAAGAAAGACTAAAGAAGGCCACTGCCTGGCTATAAACCCTGAGGACAACTGGATTTCACAGTATTACAACAACGTTCAGTAGCATAGCAGGTTATGCAACATAACCTTGAAAACCAACATAGATACAACAAGTAATGTCTTGACTACACTCGCTCTTCTTCATGCTCAATGTAAAAATTAAGTTCCTTCACGACTGATGGCAAGATAAAACCTTCTCCTTTTCAAGGAGCACATTGTTGTTGTTACTTTTATAGTGTTTTAGTGCTGCCCTCTAGTGGGCAAACATATTAGAGCCCTCTGGAAATCACAACAGTTGGGACAATTAAAAAAGTTGATGCTTGGGTTGGTTTCCACACAGATTAGTGTTTGTTCTTGACTTTTTTTTTTTTCCAGTTAAGCAAAGACAGAACTAACAACCCGTAATCCAAGATTTGACCAATCTGTAAGATATAAGAAAAAAATCCACAGTAGCCCATATTAAATTAGAATGCTTGAAACTGATTGGTATGGCCGCATTCATCACTGATATTTTATATCACGCCCCAGACGGGTTGTTTTCTAGTTGCATACAAAAACCAAAGACTTTATACAAACGCAACTTGCACCATCTTTCGTTTAAATGATCGATTGTAGTGAAAATCACCTCAGTCGATACTAGCCTACTCTAAAAGTGTTCGTCGTATAGGTAGATTGGTTTGTTTCTTGTAATAGACAATTAGCGGAGGCGTGAAGATAATAAAAAAATCGTGTAAGATTTAAAAAAATAATTTTGAGCTCAGATCAGTATTTCAGGTTTACGGTTATGCAGTCTACTGTAAAATATTGCACTGTAATAATCGTAATCGGCCATCTGTACCAACCACAACTGACTTTCAAATCTACATGTAGCCTACATTAGAGCCATATACTGAATTTTTATAAAATTGACCTTTTAGTTTAGAAAATGTGGGAGGAGCATGAGTGAGAGCTTTCAATGAAAGTGAAACCATATGATGGACAACGATCTTTAGACAAGAGATCGTAAATTTTAAAGTACAATACAGGTGTTTAGAGATATGCACTCACAGGTAATATATAATATTTTTTTCAATGTTGTAATGAGAGCACAATTTATAATGTTCCCTTAAAGGTTTCTAATGTCAGTACTGGTTCAGTATGGCCTAGCTGAGGAAATTTAATTCAACAGATTAGTGAGTCAAATATTGGTTATTAATTACACTGACAAATATCAGAATGTTGTTATAAGTATATTTTGCATATGTATTTTTCATATGCTTTAAAATATGTCATAAGATCGGAAACAGGAAGTATATGAACTGCAGACATAGGCTACTTCAAATACAGCAGTGGTTTGTAATTATGCAGTGTTTGTTGGACATGTGTATTGAGTGATATCTAGCAGCTAAGGTTTCTCTGTTTTGCTCTTGTTAGATCATAATTAAAAAAGAAAACTGAAAAAAAAAATCTATTAAAAGTGCTGGTGTCAATCATGATTAGGCCTGTAAACAAACTGAAAACTACCCTTTTGGCTGCTGTATGTGTGTGTATTTGTCCATAGCTTTGTTTCATAAAAAAATGTGTTACCTGAGGTCAATTTCACTATCCAAAATAGTATTGCTTATATGAGATGAAACTACTTAATGTGTATTTTGATATAAATGGTTTGGAATTTTTGGAAACGAGGAATTTTTGTATCTATATATAACGTAACAAACATGCAGGGAGCCATTTTGTTGTCATGTGACTTTCATATTATATTTTTTGACAAGAAATTTTTACAAATTTACATATTTAGACGTTTTTATAAAAAGGCAAGAATAAGAACAAAGAGCAACCGTAGGAAAATCTTATTCATAATTTTAAAAATTACATTTATTATAACTTCACAAATACTTTTTAAAAATTTAAGTTAATTTGTATTATATATATAGGCTATATATATATGTGTGTGTGTGTGAAACCAACATGATTGCAAACATTTTTGATAGATTTCCCAATATTATCATTATATACATTTTATCTAGGTCCTGCGCCTTCCTTACCTCCAGTTTCTCAATGCGGTCTTTCATTTGAGTTATGGCATGCACCAGCTCCTCCATCGCATGAGTGCTCCGCATCGAGGACCCCGCATCGTCCCGCATCATGATTTGCTCCTTATTCTCTTTCCGCGCATCCCCAAGCCCCGCGCTCCGTTCCGGGACCCTGCGTCCCTTCAAGCCGCTCTCGCATTCCGAGAGCTTTCCCGTTAGCTCCCGTATGGTTCTCTGATCCGTGAGGATCTCATCCTTCTGCTGCAGGACGGTCTGCCGGAGCTCCTCGGCGGTGGTGCGCAGGTACCCCCAGTCCTCTCCCGCGTATAACGACGGGTCGTCCGCTTGTTGCTGAAAGTTTTTGGGGTTGCACTCACCGGCGGGGACAGGGGTGCAGATGAGTCTGCTGTAGGTGACCTGCTGCTCGCTGCCTCCGGTCCCTAGTCCAGTTAAACCGTAGAAGGTTGGCGCCTCCGGTCCTCCTCGTTCCCTGCTGGTCGCATCGGTACCGTGAAGAGCGTGCAGCGGTCCTGCTCGGGCCACGGACCCGGTGGAAAACGCCTTCCCGGTTGCGTCCGGTGAGAGTGAATGGTTGTCAGCCAGGGGCTGCGCTGCGACCGCGGATGCCGGTGGAGATCCGCTGTGAACCGCGGCGATGATGCATATAACCGCTCCGATAAACGCCACCATCCCGGCGGCCAAAATGACAACGATGAACTTCAGGGTGGCGGTTAAAAAAATCAGTGATGATAAGAAACAAAAGATAAAGGGGAGATATGGACCTTAAGAGTGAATTAAGCTCATCAGTAAATTTTCAGCGCTCGAAATCAACAGCTTTTCCTCTGTAATGTGCCTGTCCACGCGCAGGACGCGTCTCTCTATGTCTCCATCTCATTACCGTGGGGACAACAAGAAGTGGGGGCTTAGCTTGCACATCAGGGGTGGGCTGCACTTGCGAGGGAGGTGGAGGCAGCACCCGCCTCATGTCAGACCAATGTGAGACTTCATATAGCATAGTGTGAAAAAAACCCTGGAGTGCTTAGGAAAGCAAGTATGCAGGATACAAGATAGGGGTCTGCGTCGGTCTAACCATCTCATCCATACTAACTCTTATCCATACTATAGGGAGACTGGGAAAATTTGATTACATGATCTAAAACAGTTTTTCTTTTTAGGTTTTAGACTAAAATTCTGTCATCATTTACTCAACCTTGTTCCAAATCAGTATGTTTCTTTCTTCTGTTCACCACAAAAGAAGATATTTTGAAGAATGTTGGTAATCAAACAGTTGACGGTAGCCACTGACTTCCATAATATTTTTATAATTTCCATAGTATTGGTTTCCCACGAATAGCTAAGTTGGAGCCACCATCCAGCAGGCAGTTGAACTGCTCAGAACCAACGCAGGACTCATGAACAACTATCACAAAACAGAAAAACAGCCATGGATCATCCAGGAAACGACACAGATTCAAGGGTATGTAAACTTTTGAACGGGGTCAGTTTTTATAAATTCAGTTATTATTTTTTTCTTGTGGAGTATTTATAAACATATGTTATGTGAAATAGCTTATTCAGGACAGTACTAAATAAAAAATAACATGCAAGTTTCATGAGCTCTCTTATTTTGTTAAAATTATTAACATATTTGCATATTCTGCAAGGGGTATGTAAACTTATGAGCACACACAACTGTATATGTGTCTGTGTGTGTGTTTTTAAATTAAGAATACAAATGCAAAAAGTATAAATTTAGTATGCAAAACCTATGGTGCCATCAATGCTGTTAGATTTTGAATAGCGAACATTCTCACAATATCAGATTTTCAAAATTCATTGCAACATTTCTGAAAATATATAGTTTACAAAAGTTTATAAAAACCAAAAAGAGATAGCACACATAAGACTTTATTCTCAACAAAACAAACTTTCAATGAAATCTTTCAATGAAAACTGGTTTATGGAAGCAAACAAAAAGATAAAAAATAACTAGACAATTGCAACTTACACTCTAAAAAATGCTGGGTTAAATATAACCCAGCGCTGGGTTAAAACGTGACAAACCCAGCTGGGTCAAAACAGCCCAATAGCTGGGTTTGTCCCTTTTTAACCCAGCGCTGGGTTATATTTAACCCAGCATTTTTTAGAGTGTAATTTCTCACAAGTCATATTTGCAAGATATAAACTCAGAATTGTGAGATACAAACTTGCAATTGTGAGAAAAAAGTAAGAATAATGAGATAAAGTCACAATTATAATACCATTTTTATTTTTTATTTTGTGGTAGAAACACAAAAAAACTGATGTGAGATGTAAACTCAGAATTCAGAAGAAAAAATTCAGAGAACAGCGAGAACAGAGAACATCTCGCAATTCTAAGTTTAAATATCGCAATTCCAAAAATGTGTTTAAATTACTTGAAACTGAGTTTCTAACAATAATAATAAATAACAAAAATGTTAAATTTTTTTTGTAATAAAAACAAGTTGCGCCAACATATTTGTACACCCTCCTGTCCTCATTAATGAGCATCCCAGCAGGTAAGTGTCGAAACCTTGGAATTCCCCTTGATCCCACACTGTCCCTGGTGAAGCGTGAAATCACCCGAGCACAGGGAGAGATTAGTGTCCTGGATAAGCACGACCTCATCATTTCACATGCTGCAAGTCACCCTTTTATGTGTAATCCACCTCCACACACACACACACACACACACACACACACACTCACACACACTCACACACCACGCGTGAGGAGGATGAGAAAAATCGTGCATAAGAGACCCGGGCCAACGGCAGAAGATTAACACAGATTTATATCATATAATCCCTAACGATCAAGTTTTATGTGGGGATTTCTGTCTTTCTGGAGGCTTTATGTTATTTTGAACTTTAAAGGGGTCATATGATGCGATTTCAAGTTTTCCTTTCTCTTTGGAGTGTTACAAGCTGATTGTGCATAGATAAGATCCCTGAAGTTGCAAAGACTAAAGTCTCAAAACCAAAGAGATATTCTTTATCAAAGTTAAGACTCTGCCACGCCCCCCTAAAACGGCTCGTTCTAACACGCTCCCACATATCTACCTCACTATGGGTAAATATTAGCATAATGCCGGCCAAATGTGCACGCAAAGAAAAATGGCGTGGGTTCAGTAACCACAGTTAGTGTTGAAGCAGCATGTCAGGGAGACACTGTGTGATTCAGTGCAAAAGCAAAAGCACTTTATTTTGCCTTCCAGAAATAGATGCATTTAGGAATCTTTAAGATAAAGGCGTGGGTTCAGTAACCACAATTAGTGTTGATGCAGCATGTCAGGGAGACGCTGTGTGATTCAGTGCGAAAGCAAAAGCACTTTATTTGGCCTTCCAGAAGTAGATGCATTTAGGAAAAATTGTGGATGGTGGCTCCAATTTAGCTGTTTTTGCCTATACACTCTAAAAAATGCTGGGTTACATATAACCCAGTGCTGGGTTAAAAAGGGACAAACCCAGCTATTGGGTTGTTTTGACCCAGCGGTTGGGATGTTTTGAACCCAACCGCTGGGTCAAAACAACCCAATAGCTGGGTTTGTCCCTTTTTAACCCAGCATTTTTTAGAGTGTAGTTCCCAAACACTCTGGATTAGAGATAGTTTGGATTCAGTGATGGAAGACAGGCTGTCAGATTTAAGGATTCTTTTATCCATCTGGGAAGAGTAGCTTTAAAAAAAATGGCTCTTCTAATTTCAAAACCTCCTTGATTAAAATAGCATTGTGCTGGTGTTATTGCATAATGAAGTCAAATTCAATGAGTTCAGAGATGTTTGATTGGATCAAAGTGAATAGGAATTTTTTTTTAACGTGTATGAATTCATCCTGTTATTGCCGTTACATAATCAGAAAAGACGATCTAGTCACCATCTTCTCTCACTGCCACCATCATTCTCATCTAGAAAATGAACATCCTCCAACACCCTGTTCTGTCACTTAAAACGTCAGCCATGATCATCCATAAACTTTCTTTGTGAATTCCTAGTAAGTCGAGTGATTAAACTTCTATTATTGAGATCTATTATTGAGATTTATTGGCCACAAGTACAGCCTTATGGGCCTGGATTTGATTCATTGTGTTCAGTGGAGCTTGTGGTTGCCAGCTGCTGTTTTGGAAAAATGTGCAGCAGAGGTAAGAGAGGGAGAGGAGAGGGAATACTATTCCTGATTTCATTAAAAGCTAAAGTGGGACAGAAGTCTAAGAATGGAGTGTATCACTCTAAAACAGATAGACTGACTGTGGGGTGTAAGAAAGACTAAGAAGGCCACTGCCTGGCTATATAAAACATACCTGAGCTGAGGACAACTGGATTTCACAGTATTACAACAACATTCAGTAGCATAGCAGGTTAAACAATATAACCTTGAAAATGGCCTTCTAAAATGGCCTAACATCAATACAATGTATTCTCTATACTCACTCTTCTTAATCCTCAATGTACAAATTAAGTTTCTTCACGGCCAATGGCAAGATGATAAAACCTTTTCCTCTTCAGGGAGCAGATTATTGTTGTTGCTTTTAAAGTGTTTTAGTGCTGTCCTCTAGTGGGCAGTAACCAGAGGTGTAAAGAGTACCTAAAAACCATACGTGAGTAAAAGTACAGAGACCTTACAGTGAAAATGACTCCACTACACGTTACAAGTCACCAATTCCAAAACAACTTGAGTAAAAGCCTTAGGGTGGGTTGTACCAATAAGGATTAATCTTAAATCTAGATTAAATCAAGGTTTATCTAGTAATTCTGTTGCACCAAACTTTAAACCTTGTTTAAAAATAAGCAGGTTTACATTTAAACCATCATCTTGATCCTGGATTTAATTAATATTTAAGATAGATTAACTTTAATCCTGTTGCTCCATAACTTTAAACTCAGATTTAAATCTCAATTAGGGATTAATTTTAAATTTACAGGTGAGTAAATTGAGTAGTATCACGTCTTTTATAGCAGAAATAAACTTCTGCAGAAAAAGCTAGGTCCATGCAAAATGTAATGTGTAACTGCAACACTCATTTCAAATGTAGTGGAGTAAAGAGTACAGATACTCATTCAAAAATGTAGTGAAGTAGAGAGTAAAAGTTGCTAATATCTTTGATACTCAGTACAACTACAAAGTATCCAAAAAGATACTCAAGTACAGTAGCTAATAACATTTACTCCAATACTTTACACCTCTGGCAGTAACATTAGAGCCCTCTGGAAATCACAGCAGCTGGCACACTTAAAGGGTTAGTTCACCCAAAAATGAAAATTCTGTCATTAATTACTCACCCTCATGTCGTTCCAAACCTGTAAGACCTTCATTCATCTTCGGAACACAAATTAAGATATTTTTGATGCATGCTGAGAGCTCTCTGACCCTCCTATAGACAGCAATGTAATTAACACGATCAACGTCCAGAAACGTAGCAAGGAGATCGGTAAAATAATCCATGTAACATCAGGGGTTCAACCGTAATTTTACGAAGCTACGAGAATACTTTTTTGTGCGCAAAGAAAACTAAAATAACGACTTTATTCAACAATTCGTCTCCTCCGCACCACCCTGGCGCCATTTTTGAGAATATCCACTGAACGCAAACAGAGTATGCTATTCTGTGTCAGCTGCGCCACGCAGATACACTGTTTATGTAATTTACGCTTTGATCTGAACGAAAACAATGTATCCACGTGACGCAGCTGACACAGAACAGCATACGCTGTTTATGTTCAGTGGATACTCTCCAAAATGGCGTGTTTTCATTACGAGAGGTTGGATTATTCATTTGCTACCAGTCAACCTCAACTACGGACAGTGTTTGGACATTGATGTACTACAGATAAGACTTTTGCACACATCATCTTTCACATGACGAAATCCT